AAAAGTGCCTGAAGACAGTCGCTCTGTTGTTGGTGAATGGGAGACTGGTAGCTGGTTTACACACAGCCACTCACAATGGGAAATACGGGACTGTATAGATGCGGCAAATACACACAATCATGTACGCACTACACACATCACAAGTGGAACTCCTCGAGAGGAAGGAATCTCTGCAAGTTTACTTATTGCATCCATTCCCAGGGTATTTTACAACAGCCTGGAAATTCAGTGTAACACAGCGTACTGACCTTTTCTATTACGACTGGATCAGTGCTGCCCCTCAACAGAGTATCTGGTGATACAATGCGGTGGTGGAAAGTAAGAAAGTACATTTGAGTACTGGAGTACAATATAATGTTGAAGCCACTAGACACTTCTACTCCACTGCAATATTCATATTAATATTTTTCACTACATTTACTATTAGTTACTTTGTAGATTCTGATATTCACACACACAACCAAAACGAAGACATTTCAAATGTGATGTTTTGATGTTGATTACACTTTTTTTTTTTACACATCCAGCTCCTCAAATGGGAAGATTGCTGCTTCTCCTTTTAAATATTTCCATTCATTTCTTTATAATTTTGAGATGTTTTCTGCACTTTTCAGACTACTTGTCTCCTAGTACATTTTACGGATCATACTTTTACTACAGTACATTCTCAATGCAGTCTTCTTACTTTAAACAGAATATGTTTACAGGCAAAATGTTACATAAGTAAACGATCTCAATACTGCTTTCACCACTGATACATTGTGTGTTTCTGTAGCTTGCACTCATTTCAAGAAGCAATTTTCTTCAAAGGAAACTGCTAAAAGTAATGCTCATATTCAAACCTCAATCAGCAACTGCAAAATAACTAAGCTAGAATTCTGCTTGGTCTAACTTTCTGAAATTAGTCACTTTCAAATAACTGAAATAATGCAGAGTTTGCTAGCTTGACACACTTTTGCTTTATTCTGAAAAGTGGCCTGGGAATCTGCACGGCCTAATAGTGCACAGCAGAAGGAGGGTGTTTCTCAATCGCGAGTATGCTTGCTTGGTAGCACATGTCTGCCGAGCATCAAAGCGAGTCAAGAATACTTCCTGGCATTCGGAAAACGAAGTGTGGAACAGGCTAGCAAGTGTGCAGGTGTGCGTCATACGAGAGGCCCCGCCTTACATTTTCCGCCACAGACTTTGGAAATTGGTCCGTGCGCAAAGCATTGTGGGGATTTTAAGACCGCGGAGCCTACTCATGTGCAGCCTCGATATTTCTCCAAACGGAGTACGCCGGGCTCGGTAGATTTCCAAGTATGCTGGAGATTGGAACAGTACTTCGGCGGCACTCGATGACGTAGCATGCTTGAAATAGTGGCTCTGAAGCAGCTTTACTCGCGATTGAGAAACACCCGGAGTCTGACAGAGAGGCAGGCCAGCTGAAAGTGATCTGATTGGATGAAGAGAAAAAGAAGGGAGAGAAAGAGAAAGAGAAACAGACAAATGGAATGGTGGAAGTGGACAGTCATCAGCTTGTCTCTCTCTGGATCTAGATGCAATTTGTCCTGACAAGCGACTTAGACGACACCTCCCGACCCATCTGCACACACACACACACAGACACACACACACACACACACACACACACACACACATAAATCTCCCGCAAGAAAAAGGAGGGCGGGAGCAAATGAGGGTGTGAGTAAAAGTAAATAACCTAGGAGATGGAGTTGAATAGGGACAGAAAGTGACTCAGGAGTGCCAGAGAAAAAAACAGTAGGAGGAAGAAAGAGGCAGCAGATGAGGGACAAATCGATTTGTAGTAAAGAGGTGAAGAGTGGTGGACATGAAGCAGGGAGACAGAGATGGAGAAAGAGCCTGAAATGGAAACAGATAAAGGAAAGAAAGAGGGGAGGACGTGAGGGACGGAGATGGAGAGAAAGACGCACCTTGTCAAAAAAGATTGAGAGCAGAGGAGAAAATGAACAGGGAAACAGTGAGAGGAATACAGCGATTGAATGAAGATAGAGAGAGAGTGAGGGAAGATGGGAGGATGCCGTATTTTCCTCCATCTCAATTTGCACAAAACTTTCATTACCACCAATTTGGGCCGGGAGCCGTAGGCTGGACCATTAGACGAGCCCGGCATCAATCAGCCTAATCTCCCTCCCAGGCCGCTAAATTACAGCGCCCAGTTGCTTATTAAAATGTGTCGCCCGTCTCCCAACACCCGGCACTGCTGGAGATTAGACAGGGGCCCCCAGACAAATCTGTTCCAGAGAAGAAGAAGAGGAGGTGGAGGAGGAGGAGGGGGGAGGGAAGGAGGTAAGGAAGGAAGTACAGGGACAGTATAGGAGGGGGAGAAAGACAAATGTGCTCGCCGAGACACAGCGGATCAGAGTGGGGGGACGATCATCTGGTTTGATTTATACACTCCTGTAGATCTGCCGTGCACACACACACACACACTCGCTGTATTTCAGCCTCACACACTCATACATCGCAATACATCCGCTTTACACCCGCCGCCACTTCCCCCCCAAATGCAGTTTTCCATTCCTGTCAACACCTCACACAAACACACACAAACACACACACACAAACACACACACACACACACACTCGTCGGTGTGGAGATTTCGATGTTAGCGACGCCACCCATTGCACACTCAATCAATCCGCAGGCAGATAAGACGCATGATGAATGGCATAATTGAAGGCGGCAGCGAGGTAATGCCGCATCGCTCTGGGTTTGGTTGGGACAGAAGAAGAGTGGCGAGCGGGTGATTAGCCTGTAGGATTTATTGTTATTGCTTGTCTTATTATAAAAAAACTACGACTGTCTGCCTCGCAAACTGTACAAGGTGTTTCAGGTCGTCTTGGACTGTTCGCTTTCTGACCTCAGAGTGAAAACTAAACATGGAGAAGCAGCGTTGATGGTCAGTGTTTTGTGTGCATGTAAAGGGTCTGCAAAGAATGAAACCCCAGAGTTTCCTCCAGAGGGAGTTTCTTTCTCCCAGACACTCCCACCCTGTCTGAAACGCCTCCATTGGACTACTTTGTTTACTTCAGGAACATAGTGACATCACTACGTACCACTCCTCGCATTTCTACTAGCAAGCGCCACTACACATTGTACGTGATAGGCTAAGGGGCGGGACATCTCCAAGCGGTTCACTAATCACAACAGAGCTGGGCAGCTAACCAATCAGAGTCGACTCTGGTTTCAGACAGAGGGTGAAAAGACGTAAACAGGCACATTTGCATTAAAAGGCCCCTTTAATACTTTCAGTTTGATTCAATAGCTACATAAATAAACTTGCCAACACTTTTAGAAAGATGAGCCAACAGCAGGGTTGCACCGATATAGATTCAGGTTGCCATGAGCTAAACATGAAGGATGCAGGGAAGAAATCTATATGCAGAAATGCTGTTCATAAAAAAAAAAAACACATTTATTCAAACCCAGGAGATTTCTTCTCTACTTTAAGAATCATTAGCACGTTTTTTTTGAGTGAGAGTGTGTAGATCCGTGGATAACGTAGGGAAGCAAGGTGATTTAACTTGAGTGCACTCAGCAGATCAAACACTTTCACGTATCAAAAGCTACCAAAGGTCCTTGACAGGAGTGAGCCATACAGTGTACTTAAGAGGCTGCTCGCTGCCTGACAACACGCCTCCGCTGTCCTTCTGCGCAGAGAGCATGTGCAGAGGGATTCTCCTCAGACTGCCCCTGCCATCTGATGACCCTGATTTGCTGCGGATTATTGTCCGTTGAGGCCTAAGCTGTCTTAATGGATCCTGACTTGTGGCACATGAAGAGATGATTTGAATTAGTGCGGCTCAGGATGTTGTTGTTTAGACGCTCATAGTCAATCTTAAAACGAGGTGGGTCTCGAGGAACCAATTATTATCAGATTAAGGTGGGAAATCAATGTTAATTGTGTTTAAGCTCCCCCTTTTTGACAAAAAGAATGTTGAACTTTAAAATGGCCAAGATTAGCTTTTAATGAATGTGTTACACCAGATAACATTACTGTAGAGTACAGTGTCTATAAATACTGTATTACAATGCAAAGGGAACATTGGTTTAATTGGGCACACTGTGTCACCAGGGCGCTTGGCAGCTGATGTTTTCCCTCCAAGTTTCTGACTTTCTCTCTCATATATTATTGTATGTAGAGTAGCTTTGGGCTGCTTTGGACTGGAGAACAAAACAACTCTTTGAAGACATTACTCTGGGGTCTGGGAAATTATGATTTCACTATTTTCTCTACCATGGGTTTGTTAATTGCAGCACTAAAAAACACTTTTCACCTCTGGGAGAAAAACAGCAAAGCTTTAAACAAAAAAACATATTTTCTAGACATGATGTGAAAATACTTTTCTGTCTAATGTTTGTATTGCGTGAAGCAAGGCATTGGTCTTTTGAAAAGAAAGCCTTTTCTGATTAGCCGACAAAGAGAAGGAACCCATTTGCACCACGCACTTCAAAACAGATGAACTGAAGACACAAAGGCGCACATCATGACGAGCACTAACCACCACACAAATCCTAAGACTCACTCACTGCACAGAGACTCAAACTGCATCTGCGATCGAAATGGTGAGAGCAACTTGGTGCAGAGCTTCTGCACAGAGCATGTCCACTGTCAACTGATACTGTATCCAGCACAGGAGCAACCACACATGTTCACAGTCAGCCAAATGTGGTCTCAGACAAAGCCCATTGAGCTGCTATAAATACCAGAGGAACATGGCAGTTGCTTTGTCTGAAAGTTTAATTAGCACAGCACCTAGAGTATTCAAAGATAGAAGGGCTGGCAGTGGCGAGGAGGCGAGAGCTTCCTGTGCTATTTTAAAAGACGATAGTTGGTGTTGTTGGTCGGGGGGGTTTGTTTTGATATATAAAACCCAGTGAATCACGTTTACTGCTGGCGCACGGGGGTGTTTGTATGATTTATGAAATGAGTTTGGGTCCAGGATCTGCTGCTGTGTGTGCAGAGTGTGTGTACCTCTGGTGCTCGCCAGCAGCCCCCCTTTGTGTTGCTGCTCAGACTGATTGAGTGGTGTTTCGTTGGGCCAACTGGGCTTCCGGCTGGTGGACGGCCCGCATCGATTGCTCGGATTCACCCTTCCTCTGGAGCACGACAGAAAAAGAAAAATAAAGAGTGGAAAATAGAGAGCAAAGAGAAAAAAGGTAAGGAAAGGAAGGAGAGGGAGGAAACAGGAAGAAGGGAACATTAGCTTAAATGAAAGTTTATTAGCTGGATCAGTCAGTCACTCGGGTGGGGTAAGCGTTTTGCCCCGAGGCCTTCAATCCTTCCTCTCTATCTATTCCCTCCCCCTCGCCCTCTATTTCTGCTGTGTGTGTGTGTGTGTGTGTGTGTGTGTGTGTGTGTGTGTGTGTGTGTGTGTGTGTGTGTGTGTGTGTGTGTGTGTGTGTGTGTGTGTGTGTGTGTGTGTTCAAGGGGAGGGGTTTGGGAGGCAGGCATGACGGGAAAACATTAGGTTGTTGGCGAGTGGCCTGTACACCAGCCAGTAATTGGCTCGGGTAATGGTCATGTCCAGACAAATGGTGTAGGCCCTAACCGTGTTACGAGCAACCGGCTGCTCTGCCTGTATTCACAGCAGAGAAGCCCCGGATACACAGTGTCTGCAGGGTGTGTGTGTGTGTGTGTGTGTTTGTGTACAAGACTCGCAAAACAAGTGATTTACTGAGACACAACTCTCTTTTTTTTCCTCTCCTCACAACCGATGTCTTATGCACGGCCGTACGCTTGATTCATGATTTGCTTGCGTCCTATGTGGGAGACTGCGCCGTGATAAGGAGGGAAAAGATGGCAGCACAAGCCCCGCTCACCTCCAGGGACTAATCGACATCTGCCAGTGTCCTCCAAACACGACATGGGGAGGGAGGGAGAAAGCAAAACTAAGTAAGAAAGAAAGAAGGAGAGAAGGAAGATGACGAGAGAGAGGAAGTAAAAGGATAACTTCAATTTTTCATCCTTCCCCCCCCCTCTGCTCTGCATCACTTCCCCTTCTGTCTGACTGCAAGCTGAGCCACTAATGTCCATTGTGTCTGGATATACTGCAACACACACACACCAACACACATGTACGGGCGTGTGTGTGCATTAGCGTATTTCCTTCTGTTAATGATATGAGAGTGAGAATGAAACGTATATGCTCATTGCTCCAACAGTAGCTTTGCAAGCTAAATAGAATGCATTCATGAATAAAGCTGAGTGTGCGTGTGTGTGTGTGCGTGCGTGCGTGCGTGTGTGTGTGTGTGTGTGTGGTGGCAGCCCCTCAGCCATCCAGCTATCATCTCCCGCCAGACAGGCCCCACCAAACCATCCCAGCTGGATAATGAGATCCATTATGATTTACGTGCCAAAAGGACAGCCAGACAGAACAAAGACATGTACACACACACACGTACAGTACACACACTGACACACACACAGTACATGTCAGTGTGTCTCATACTGTATGTGCTGATGTGTGCTGCCAGCCACTGCTTCATATTTCTGTTTTTCTTCCTATGTGTGTGTGTGTGTGTGTGTGTGTGTGTGTGTGTGTGTGTGTGTGTGTGTGTGTGTGTGTGTGTGTGTGTGTGTGTATATATATATAAGTTGCCTGTAGGGTATCCTGCAGTGGGTCCTCTTTCCATTTGCAACTCAAGACCATTTCTCTCTCCATCTTTTTCACACACACACACACACACACACACACACACACACACACACACACACACACACACACACACACACACACACACACACACACACACACACACACACACACACACACACACACACACACACACACACACACACACACACACACACACACACACACACACACACACACACACACACACACACACACACACACACACACACACACACACACACACACACACACACACACACACACACACACACACACACACACACACACACACACACACACATTCTTTTCCCACCTCTGCGTCCCACCTTAAAAAAGCGAATTCATTGAAAGAGTGAGAGAAAGTATAGAAACCTCACTCTGTAGCTACCCCCTACTTCCGCCCTGCTTTCTCTCTCTCTCTGTGTCACACTCTCAGACTCACACACACTCTGCCCCAGGGCATTGTGGGCAGAAAGTGAAAGGTGAAGATTACAACTGTGTGCTGCATCGAAAAAAGACCACACAACCTCACCCTGATTTATCAGCACCTCTGAGGCTCGAGCAAGCCAGGGATCTGTTCCAAGGTATTTGTGTCAGTGTGTGTGTGTGTTTGTGTGTGTGTGTGTTTGAGCGCTGGGATTTGTTAGTGTCAAGCCAAAGTTGCTGTCAAACACATTTTGGAAGAGGAACACACTATTGCTTCATTTCACTTTTTGGGAATGGGGCTAGGAAGGAAAGCTGAGGAAAGAAAATCAAATTTGAAAATGTGAAACACATTGTTTGAAATATGTCAAGGAAAGAAATTGGGTGTAAGTTCTTTTATGACTTTTTTCTATCCAACAAGCACAAAGATAACCAAATAAGGCATGCAGGGCTGCAACTAGGACTGTGTTGCTATTTATCGTTTCTAGGTATAAAAACATCAGACAATAGCAAATAAATTATGATTTCAAGCTAAATCCTCCAAATATGATATTGTCCAACCAACTAAAGACTTAAGTAATTTAATAAATCAGATCAAAAACTAGAAGGACACTCAGAGCGCAGACCTCAGCAGACCTCAGCAGACCTCAGTGAACTGTAATCCCGCTGACAAACAAACAAACAAACCGAACTGAAAACATAACCTCTGCTGAGGTCACCAGCAAATCCTCCAACTGGAGAAGCTATTAAGGTGATTGTCTGTAGATATATATACAACAATGATTAGAACAATGGGTGAATATATTGGGTACATCCTTGGGTGACTGTTTGTCCTTTTATCTTGCTATTTTAGTCAATAGAAGCGCAAGCGTTTCATAGTTATGTTACAGAAGTGAGAAACCCCCAAAAGCATAATTGAGCCCCTTTAATGGTCTCTGAAAAACACGTGAGAGTCCACTTGTTGGGGTGATAGTAGCTTGGTGGACATTATTATATATCATATCATTGCAAAATGTTCCATAGTTTCTATTTCCCTCCCTCTCAAAAACGTTCACACACACACATAAACACACACTACCACACACACACTACCACACACACACCAGCCCACTCTCTCTGAGAAAACAATGGCGGGATTCTCTCTGCTGTTCCTGCTTTATGAAGTATTCAAGTGAGGCCAGCTCAATTAGAGGCCTAAATGCCTAGATCCAGGCTGGGGAGGGATGAAGGGATGAACAGAGATGAAGAGAGATTAGAAGAGAAACAGAGAGAGGTACAATGAGGACACAGGCAGGGAGGAGGAGAGCCGTAATGAGACATGGGGAATGATGGACAGAAAGTAGATCCCTTTAAAAGGAAATAGGAAACGACAAGAGGGAGAATGTGTGATAAAATGCAAATAGAAAAAGAAGAAAATCAAAAATCAAGATGAAAAATGAAGACGAACAATCAAAGACAGAGAGGACAAGGACACTCTTGACCCCCTTGATCTCCCTGCTCCCACTCACACACACACAATCCTCTGTGGTATGTATTTCCATCATCAAATGTGATCAGAGCTACTGTCCGCGAGCCAACATTCACTCAACTGTGATAACCGCTGTAGGAACACACACACACACACACACACACACACACACACACACACACACACACACACACACACACACACACACACACACACACACACACACACACACACACCACACACACCACACACACACACACACACACACACACACACACACACCACACACACACACACACACACACACACACACACACACACACACACACACACACACACACACACACACACACACACACACACACACACACACACACACACACACACACACCACACACACACACACACACACACACACACACACACACACACACACACACACACACACACACACACACACACACACACACACACACACACACACACACACACAGGTAGCAGAGAAGGATCTGACATGCCCGGTTAAATTAAAAGGTCAAATAAATGAAATACTCATCAAAGTGAACGAGCCTTCAGATGATCGGAGGGCTCGGAGCTGCAGCTCTGGGGGCTTGTCTCGCAGCAAACGAGTAGCGCCTTAATCATGTATTGTTTAATTTAAGAGGATCATTCCGGTGTGATTTCTGTGGCTAATAACAACATTGTACTCACCAAGTTAATTGCCGAGAACTGGGAGCGCGGCCACATCGCAATAAAGAAGTCAGACGAGCAGAGCGTAAACACAAATATAACGTTTTAAAAAAAACTCAAGGTTAGCCAAATGTGTTTGGGAGAAAAAACAAAAAGGCAAATAGATAAATTAATGATGTCCTTCATGAACAAGCGGTACGGTTTTGGCTTCTTTACAAAAAGGCTCTGATTGCTTGTTTCTTAGCACGTCAGACTTTGTTTAGAACTTTTTCTGCATCTCTGCAACTAATTTGGTGAATACAGTGTTGACAAAACGGATTTACTTCTCATTCAAATCAGCGCAGTAATGATATTTGGCAAACCAAGGACATGTCTTTATCAGACTAAGGTTCCTTGAAGTAAACAATTACAAATGGAGCTTCAAAAATGTCCTCTTGAATCCTTGAGGAAAAATCTAATTTGACTTTTGCAATGCTTGTGTTCATTTAATACCACAGTGACGTACTTTAGCAACGCGCATTGAATGCCTTTGAGTGGGGCTTGAAACCAAAGGGTCTGTTTGTTGTATGGGTGGCCCCCGCTAAAGTTGAGCCTCTCCCCATGCGAATGTTGTCACCATTCTCTCTACATTTACAGACACATTTTTGTGGTTGCAATAAAAAATTCCCATTGATGCAGCAGACAAAGTGTCCATGTTCTCCATGGTTAGCCACTCTCAGAACTATTTTGACTTCTAAGTGGGTATGTGTGTAGTCTGTGTGGGATCTGAACCCACAACCCCACTGTTGTGGCACGTCCCACGCTCCAACCCACTCGGCAATCAGCACCGGCGTCCAAACCCAAAACACATGCCGCAACCAAAATAATCCCCTCTAATTGAG